AATACATTGTGTGTATACATATTACATTCACGATTACATATACATATATACATATACAAAAAGCTGTTTTTATGCACATTCCTTAAAATTTAATATCAAAATCGAATTTGTAATCATTTATAATTTATTAGTTCATTTAAGTTTAAAAAAATAATTTTGTAGACGGAATGCGTATTGATAATTGATATACAGAGTGAATAATAAATGCTTTAAAATATTTTTAGGGGTGATTTCTCATATAAATTCAAAATGAAAACTTTGATTAAAATTTTACTTGATGATATTAAGTGAACATTTAAATCAAACAATGTAACATTAATTATATTGAGTTAGATTTAAATAAAAAACAATGAGTTTTGAAAACTGATAATTAATATAGATGTCATCATTTATTCAAATCGATAGATACGTTTTTGAATCTTATTTTAATGAAAATCATATAAACACGCATACACTATACATATCACCATAATTTCTTAAAAATATCTAGGTAACTATCTGATATTTATTTTTAACAAAGCCTTTTAAAATTTTTATACTCAAAATAATTTTCTTTATAATAAGATAAATTAAATATTTTTTGTGATGTATTGAATTTAAGCAAGGAATAATACATAAACATCGATAATGACGCAAACAATGAAACATGTTTCAAATTATCTCTGTTAAAAAATAATCATTATTGGAATTTTCATTTCATTAATTATACTGCCGTAATATAATGATCTCTCGTACTATTTATCAAAATATGACTGATAAATCAAATTCTGGCAGTAGAATGTATCAAAAGAATTCATTAGAAAATTTGAATTACTTTTTAATAATTGTTTTATTAATTATATTAATAAAATAAAAAAAATATATATGAAATGTATGATGGCATGAAATTCACGTTCTTGAAATTGCTGTACATTTATTAGGTGTTGAACTTAATTCCTGTCGTTTTTCGTCTCCAAAATCGATTTGTTTCGAAGGGAAATACCTTAATCAAAGTATTATTAATAAAGTATTATTAATTAGTAATAAAGTAGAAAATGGAGGAAATTACTTTGATTAAGGTATTCATTCATTTTCCCTTCGAAACAAATCAATTTTGGAGACGAAAAACGGCAGGAATTAAGTTCAACACCTAATATATTTATTACGATAATGTAAAATATCTTGAATATATTGTTTCTTATTATTAGAGTTTAATATTAAGAATCTTTATTTTAGATCGCATATGTGAGAAATACAATCAATACTATAAAAATGCCTATTACGGTCGAAGCTGGATCTTCGCAATTAAAATTATAAACGCAATTAAAATTACTCTAGTAATCGCAAATTAAATTGATAAATTTAATAATTTGATGCTACCATCAAGCATCATATTAGAAAGATAATATGTTGAAACTGTTAATAACTGTTATTATCAATTTAATTCGCGATTACTGGAGTAGTTTTAATTGCGTTTATAGTCCGGAAAAACAATTCGGTGCGCAGTTCTAAAAAGATTAATATAATATAGTGTATATGCAAGTACATATATAGTGTATATCAGTAATTTAAGATTGAATTGCATTTTTCTAGTATTGATTGTATTAGAGTTTATATGCAGACTTAAATTATGAAGCCAAATTGTTCTAAGATCAAAATCAAAACATTTGAACTTTCGAAAATTCTAACATTTTAAACACTACGGAAATAAACGAACTGCTTTGATCTTGCGACTCGCAATAGCTAAAAGTATTCACAGTAGAGGCGGCAAGGAAAATTATAGTGAAAATTAGTTTTAATTAGAGAAGAATTAATTTTTGCTTGTTTTTTTGTATTGTGCGTGCGTGCGTGCGTGCGTGTGTATGTGTTGCTTATAATATTACATTTCTATTATATTTAAATTCCGTATCAAATTGTGGTTTAAATATATAGTCCTCGAACTTGAATGATCTGAACAATTTCTGGCTCGAGCTTTACATTCGAATTAGTAGAATTGTTCAATAATCACAAAATTGTGAGCGATACTTATTATTATATGAAATAATACGAATAAATGAAAATACACACTTGTTTATTAATAATAAAATAGATAAATTTTATTATATTTTTTTATATAAAAATGCCATATATTTTTTATGATAACTAAAATTTTGGTACAGCATTAATTAAACATATAAATTATATTGTGTTTAAAGATATCTTATTAATCACTTTTATAATTATACTAACACTGCACACATTCGATGTCGTTTCTTTATGTGAGCGATATATAAGCAATTATACATTTATTTTAATATAAACTGGAAAAAATTAAAATATATTATTACGTCACACGTTCGTAATCTTTAATTATAAGAAGACGAATACACGATATCATCACTGAAAGTTAAATCTGCGTTGATATTGTAAACCTCTCTGGTTTTTCAAATAACATTTAAGTGCTTTTTACATATATACATCAAACATTTACATTTTAAAAAGTTATATAGACTTAATTCCCTGACTGCTTGTTAATCATAAGAAAATTAATGATACATTAACAGATAGAAAACAAAATCATCTTGTAGCTGAAAAAATTTGTAAAATTCTTTGCAAAATCTCTTTTCGATATATTAAACTTTCTGGATTCCACTTAGAAAAGTGCAAATCAAGAATTTTTTTAAGCTGAGTCTAATGGAATCGAATTTTATTTCTTTATTCGAATCTGAACCGAACCGAATTGACAAAATTTTATCTTGAACCAAATCGAATCGTTGAAACGTTACTTTTAATTAATAACATAATTATTGCTAAGTTTGAATTTCAATATGTGGGTAATAAAAATGATGTTTATCCGTTTGACTTATTAGCGGAAAATATGATTTTATATAAGATAATTATATAAGATAATGATTTTATATAAGATATATAAGATATAGATTATATATAAGATATGTATGATTTGTATTCGAATCTCTCAGATTTGAAATTTTTGAATAGTTTATATTCGAATCATAGAGATTCAAATCCAAATCGAATCGAATCTTATCCGATTCGGTTCGATTCAAATTCGAATAGTTTTTACACATTTTTAGTTTTATTAATAGTTTGTCATACAAAATTATATGAACGATTACTTTCATTACTCTCAAATTAAAATTTTTTTAACAATTATATTTTATTATATTATTTATATTATTACTGTGAATAATTATATTTTCATGCTATTATAAAGTAAAATAAAATTATAAAACATGATTCTCAAACTGTTATTATTGCAAAATTAATTTAAAAATAAACGATAAACATGGACATTAAGTAGATATATCTGCTGAAATTAGAGCAATGTAAACTTACAAATAAAAAAAATCTATCCAAAAGATATAAAAATTTTATATTTAAAGCAATAATATGAGTAATCGTTCACATGATTGTTACGAGTTGTATATTATCAGGCAATTGGATCCTAATAGCTGAGAATATTACTGTATAAATTTTAAAAAGATCCTGTTAATATTTGTTTGCAGGTATAGATCGATAATGTATATTGTATTTTCACGATACGCCTGAAATTTATCAAATTTTAATATGCTAAAGCTCTAATTATATTTTAAGTATATTTGAAGATTTAAAAAAGTTTTAAAATATTTTATAATAAAACTTACTGTTCAGATAAGTGATGTTTATTAAGTTAATCTAGTCCCTTATTTTAATCCGATCCGTATATTCGTAATAATATTAGATCATAACAATAGAAATGAGAAATCGGTAAATATGGAGGAAATACGTCCCGATGACCTTGACCTTGACATATGTTTTTAAGATCATGACTGAGTGACGCCAACAAGTTAGCCGTCACTCGTTATTCGTTAAAAAGTTATTAACAAGAAAAGTTTTGTTATATAAAATCAAATTCTCGTAACAGATTTCCTAACTTGAATAGTCGTTAACTTCAATGATTGATATCTCGGTTCACAGGGCAGAGCGACGCTTTTTTTCTACCAGATTCTTTCGTTTCATGCAAAAACGCGTCGAATAAGCCTAATTTTATATAGTTTTACGTAATATTATAGTTTTAATTTGTGGATGTAGCATAGACTCACACCACATCAATCTTCGACATTTTCTGTGCTGCTTTGTGTTATGATTTTATCGACAGGATTAGAAAATTGATGTAGCCACGTAGTATACGAACCAAAAATGGATGTACTGGCGCTAGTGTGCTCACATCGTAGTATTTACTATTTCATGATAGATTTCCTAACCTCAATTCGTGAATAATTGTCAATAGTTTTCAATTCTACCGATTAATATCTCGTTTTACGGAGCAGAGTGACATTTTTTTTACCAGATTTTTTCATACAAAAACTCATCGAGTGTGTCTAATTCCATCAGTATTGGAGAGGAAAGAACTAAAATATTCACTGTTTCATGCAAAAAAACGCATTGAATAAGCTTAATTTCATCAACATTGCAAAAGAAAGGACTAAAGTAAACATTTACCAAATATTTTAGTCTGATCTTATTGAAAAGGTATTGAATCGTTACTTTTTAAGTAATGACAAAACTGATTTTACAACGAGTCGATAGTCCGAAATCTTAAGTCTTTATCGGTCTTAATCTGAACAGGTGACTATAATTTTTTGCATCTTATACAAGTTATTAATTGTATAGTGAATCGTTTAGCTCAAATAATGGGAAAGAGTAAAGTCAAATATGGCCAATCTTAAGAAAATTATTAGTTTTAATTGTACAAGTTGGCTGTTAGCGACTATTGACTCATTGTAGAATTAGCATGACAAGTTACTTTGAGGACCAATAAACAGTAATTAGTTATATACTTTTTTGACTCAATAATAAGTAACGGTAACTTGTTACTTTTAAAAAGTAACTTTTCCCACAATTAATTTTTCCACAATTTCTTTAGGTAGAAGGTAAAGAGACTCGATAAATACATTTTATTAAAATGTAAATATATAAAAATCAGTAGACTAAACATTTACTGAATACAGAACTAAAGGGACATATGTCAAAAAATTTAAACATAATTTAAAGATATATAAATAGAAAAAGAATTATATATATATATACAAAATGGTGATATATGGTGTTTATATTGTATCTAAATCTGGTGGTTTGATCTTCAACCATGATCACAATGTCCCAAAAATTGAGGTTGAGAAATCCTTTAACTTTCCACTCAATATTAAATTAAATTATGAGAATAAAAAGGTAGTGGTAGCTTTTGGACAGAAAGATGGAATACATGGTAAGAATATTATCTATTGTAATAAAAAATCATTTTGGAATTATAAAATGAAAGAAAAGTAAAAGCTTCAAAACTTTACAATGTTAGTCCATATGTTCAAATAATAAAAAAGTTTATATATATATATATATCTAGTTTGTATATATATATATATAAAGTTTTAAATAAGATTTTGAATATACTGTATATCTTAATGACATCAAATATTTCTTTTTTTTTCTTTTATGGAAACTATAACAGTCACAATAGACAAAAGCTGTAATTTTAGAGCTTAATGTTTTTGATATTTCAAAAGAATTAAAAAAAATAATCAATGTACAGTAATGAAACAAAATTGGCTATTATTTTTCTTTCACGTTTGGTATTCTTATATTGTGTCACTAAACATTTTAATAAAGTATTAAAAAACAGGAATAAATATAAGAGAGAATCAAATATTTTTCAGTGGGACATGTATTAACAGCTGCAAATGGAATTGCAATCACAGGACGTGAGCTTGAAGATGGAAGAGACATTCTAGAAATGTTGGAGCAACCAGAAAATTTCCCTATAACATTGAAATTTAGTCGGGCAAAAATGACGACAAACGAGAAGATATTTTTAGCTTCAATGTTTTATCCTCTTTTTGCAATAGCAAGCCAACTGAGCCCAGAACCACGAAGTTCTGGGATTGAGATTCTTGAAGCGGATACATTTCGTTTATATTGTTACCAAACATTGACGGGTATTAAATTCATGATAGTAGCAGAGCCATCACAACCAGGCATGGAAATTTTTTTGAAGAGAGTATATGATTTGTATGCGGATTATGCATTAAAAAATCCATTTTATGCGCTGGAAATGCCTATTCGATGTGAATTATTCGAAACTAATTTACAAACATTGTTGGAAACTGTAGAAAAATCTGGAATAAGCAATGTTTAATACTAATTTACGTGTTAATAAATTAATTTAAAATAATTAAAGTAGACATATAAGACTGTAATGGCTCCCCCAGACAGGACGTGGTAATCCTTGCTGTGCGATTAGCGCAGTAGCCAATCATTTTGTCACTTTTATGAAAATCTGATAAACTGATTGATTCTTGCGCCGAATATTTAAAATAATTTAAATATTAGCTACGTAATTGAATTTATGAGTTTTTTTTCATCTAGTCTGACATCTCAATTCTGTTGTTTTATGGAAAGTATTTCTAAAATCATACGTGTTAATAATATGATAATTCATGAGGTTTTAGTTTATAATATATTAATAACGTTTATATGAATTCTTGTTTTTTGTTCATGTTTTATTCATCCTTTGCAGATATTTATCTCTGTTAACGTATGTTAATTTATTTTTGTTTATATTATTTATGTATATTATATATATATATCAACATTTCTAATATTTTTATATTTAAAATAGTTGAAAGTATAAACGTTCTTAGCAAATCTTTGTTCATGGCACTTTATTCCATTGCTGTTTTAAATCAGGCTCTGTAATCTGCGAAATAAAAAGTTAAAGTGTCTTAAGAAGTATCTGTAAGAACAAGGATGGAAGATTAAATTAAAAATTTAATCATTTAATACCTTCATTGTTAAATTATCTATGCAAGCATTACGTATACGTGCAGCAGTTGCAGGGGCATCAAATCTAAAATAGTTACGAATATTCATATCTTTACGCGCAGCCTTAATTGCCTCCTTAATGGCAAAGAATGCAGATGACGCCAGAAATAACGGTGGCTCACCAACAGCCTGTTATATTCAAATTATTTCTTAATATGATAAGGAAAATATAATAAGTATATAATATTATTTTATAATATATTGCCATCTTATTATTTTTCTCTGAAATTAATGCATGCTAATGTATATAAAAAAGAAAAATATTTGAAATTACACAAGAAAAAATTATACCTTGGAAGAATATACTGCTCTTGGATTGGAAACTCCTTTTAATAAGGAAACATTAAATTGCTGAGGTATATCGGTGAAGCCCGGTAATTTATACGCGCCAGGTCCTCTACTAAGTAAAGCTCCCGTTGGTGAATAAATCATTTCCTCTAATGTGAATAAACCGTACCCTTGCAAGAAGCCACCTTCAACTTGTCCTATATCAATGGCTGGATTTAAACTCTCTCCTAAATCCATAACAATGTCTGTCCGTAAAACCTATACCGATTGAAAAATATCAATATTCGTTTTATAAAATCCTTATGCATGCTTCTATAACATATTTTAAAGCTTTATAAAGTGATTATAAGTGTCGTTTGTATATTCCTAATATAAAGTCTGTGATAAAAATTATGACATTGATGTTTTAAAGAAATACATCAACATTTTAATTTTGTAAACTATTAATTTTTTAATAACACTTTTTCGTACGGAACAATGTCATGAATCGAGTAGTGTAAAAATATACATAATTGCTTTTTGAAAAAGGTATTAATTGCATATCGAAAATTGCATAATTATACACATAATAAGATGTACCTCATGATCACCAGTAAGACAATCGATTTCCACCTCTGTACAAGCAACGCCGTACGTAAAATAATTAAAGGGATTCCCTGTATTAGTTTCAAAAGAATATCCAATGTTGGGCGTTCGATAGAAACCGGTAGCGGACAGACTTATCCTTTGAAAGTATGCTGCTTTTATCCACTCTTCCCAAGTACCTGTTGGATTGCTGTTAATAATCGGTTGTAAACGGTTCATGATTTCCTGACACGCATTCTGAAAATTAATTTCTATAGTTGTTTTAATCGACTTTTATTTGCATACCATAAGTATTATATGTAAAATATTATTACACACCATAACAGCCATGCCATTCAGATCAGATCCGCAACTTGCCGCAGTCGCAGATGTATTGGGAACTTTATCGGTAGCCGTTTCAACGATATGTATCTTTGCTGGATTTATCCTTAAGATTCTGCTAGCAATCTGACATAATATAAAGAATTTAACTTAACTTCATTTCCTTAATTCTATAGAGATTGAAATTAATTGCAATTTAGATTATGATTTACAAACGCAAATTTTATTTAAAAATTTGGTAAATATTTACATATAGGGAGATACGAGTGAATATTATTCATACTTGAATCATTTTTGTGTTTAGACCTTGTCCCATCTCAACGCCACTGTGACTGAGTAGCACTGATCCATCAGTATATACATGCATTAATGCACCAGCTTGATTTAAAAATAACGCAGTAAATGCTATACCGAACTTTGTAGGTACAATCGCGAGTCCTTTTTTCTTAAATCGATTCTCTCTATAAAATTATTCATAATTGACTTCAATAATTTGTAATTTAGTTTACAATTTAATTTATAACGCAGACGAATTACTTGCCTATTGTATCGTTGAATTTCGATTATTCTTTCACTATAACGAGAAGATGCTAGACATTCGCGCCAACAGCGATGTAAAGTACAGTTTATCAGTTGTTGATTATAATGCGTTAAATCACCTTCCTTATATAAATTTAATTCGGACAACTGTCGTAAAAAAATTTTTAATCAAATTTATTTTTATCTGCTTGGTAGACCGAAATACACGGTAGGCAGTAAGAAAGATAGAGAAAGGGAGAGAGAGTGATTTAACGGCTCAAACTAAATTGAAATAATAAAACACATTTCTTTTAGAATGTAACTTTGTGATTAATTAAATTCTTTTTCTAGAAAATTGTATCAGTGTTTATTGACCAACCTTGTATAATCAATTTTGTAAAAATAGAAAATTATTTCGTTGCATATATAACTTATAATACCAAAAATTACCTTGACGACATCTAGATTCAGATAATCAGCGATTTGTCGAATCATAGTTTCAGCTAAAAGCATCCCTTGTGGTCCACCAAAACCTCGAAAAGCTGTATTCGATGGTAAATTCGTTTTACACACATACCCATATACTTCTGACACTGGAATTTTATATGAATTTTCAAAATGAAACATGGCACGTTCCAATACCTGGAAATATTAGAAAAAATTTCATGCTCTTTATGCGTATGTACATAGCATTATTATACATAAAATTTTTAACAAAAAAAGACTAATTTTTTCAATTTACACCTTATTACTCACCGATATTGATAAATCGTGAGAATAACCAGCATTGTTATATATGTGTACTTTAGCCACTTTGATAAGACCATCATTATTAAATCCAACTTTGTATTTAAATAAAAACGGATGTCGTGTTCCACTTATCATCATGTCTTCGTCTCTATCTAACATGCAACGAACTGGTTTCTGCAATCTATATTAAAATGATAATACAAATTGACAAACCATATATATGTAATATGTATACAATATATAACATTTTGTTTACTGTATACATAATCTGTATATGTATTCCAATCAATATAAATTTTTATACACACCTATGTGCTGCCAGTGCTACTGGTATCGCGAGTACCGCCGCACGTGATTCTTTTCCACCAAATCCACCTCCTATGCGCTTTACACGAACATTAACTCTGTTTATGTGTATATTTAAGACATGAGCGATTAATTTCTGTACTTCGGTAGGATGTTGGGTGGAACAAAATACTTCTAATTCATTTTCTTCACGAGGCACAACAATAACAGCGTTTGTTTCCAAATAAAAGTGTTCTTGACCACCTATATGTACTTCTCCTTCTAAAATATGATCAGCTTCTGCAAAAGCTTTATCTGCATCGCCTTTAATAATACGCTTAGGAAATCCAGGGAAAAACGATTTGTGCGTGATAGCGTCCTAAAAAAAAGCATTGGTACATTTAGATAGGTACATGTTATTAGTTGAAAAAATAATTTGAGAAAGAAAAAGTAACCATTTCTTGTGTATATACAGGGTGTCCCTAAATTCGCGCTCGCGGAATACAAAACATTCAGTAAAGATACTAATACGGCTAATTAAATAAGTACGTAATCCTTGAACGCTTAAAAATGATGTTTTGTGTAACAGCGATTAAAATAATAATAAGAGAACAGGGCGATTGAGATCGCAATATTATTTCAAACACTTTATTCACAATTTATTTCGTGACGAACAAATAAAATTGTTACCGTTACATATCATATTATTCTTTGTATTGATTATTGAACATTCTTAATTAAATGAAGCAATTTTTAATATCGTTAATTGTAATTTACTGAAGAAGACCTAATTGCAGGTCAAAACATCTAAATTAATGTCATATGCAATATTAGTTAATTTGTATAGTATAACAATCAGTGTTGGCTCTTAAGGCATTTTTAATTTTTAATCTTGATTTATTTTATTGGAGCCTAGATAAATTTTTTTAAGTTGTTTAACGCATATAATTATTGTGTTTTAACAAACTATTATTTTTTCGTATTAGTATAAATACCTCAATAGATATGATAATAGGTTCTAAATCTTCATATTCTATTTTAACCATACTTGCTGCAGCTTGAGCAGTAATTTGATCAGTAGCAACGATCGCACCAATTATTTGGCCTTGACTGGTAACCTAAAGAAAAAGAATAAATAGATTTTTAATGTCTTCCAAGGAATTATTGAAATTATTGTAAGATAGCAAACTTTCCGCCTACCACGATAAAGTCATATTTTCAATTTCTAATTTGTTATAATAACGATTTGTTAATGACGCAGTATTACTCGCATACTGTAGTATCATTTGGTGTTTGATTTAACTTTGAATTACTTTCTAATTATTGAAGCATAGTTGATAGCAAAACATAGCAATTTTGTAACAATGTGAATAAGGATTCTATTAACATTATTACAATTTTTCTTTGAGTATAGTGTCATTATGATGCTAACTTTTGATTTCTATGAAGAAAAATATATTTTCCAAACATGTAGAAATAAAATAATTCCTGAACGGTCAAGGAATCCATTAAAAGTTGTATTAAAAAATGACAAACATTTGTTTGTTATTTCGTGCATATATCATATAAAAGAATTGCAGTTTTAACAAAAATAATTAATATTTTGTTTAAGAATTTACT